ACTGAAGATAAGCACAGGTTTGTTAGTAAGTAACTATAAGAAAATCCTTTTGTAACTCTACTGAAGATAACCAAAGGTTCAAACTGAAGAGGAAAAGACAACTATGTAGTTAAGGCATGAAATTTAACTTCAATAATGCTTTCAGATACAAGGTAACGGAATCTCCAGCTAAATCTCAATGTGAGTTTTTCTCCCTGAATAAACGTACACAGAAACATATTTTTTTTTGTAATATTTCATTGCCATTTGAAAAGGTATTGGAATTGTAATAACTCACCAAAGTTCACCAATCTACCAGTTCTATGTTAATAAGTTCCCCTTCTAGATTTTGTACTTGCATGGATAATATTATTAAGTTCATGGCAAATTTTACAAAGCTTGTGTAAATTGATTTATATAAAGTTTTGCTTTCCTAACACCAATTGTATCTAACTTTAATTTCACCTACTAACTACATTCTCTCTATTTCAGATCCCAAGACCCATATAATCCCAGATGCCCCTAGAAATTCCTTTTGTGGAAACCCAGCAACATGTAAATTAAATAGCATTGCTTCTTGTGACGTAACCTTATGAAACATTTATATTTGTGTGCATAAAAACTTGTTAGATAATGCATGTTTATGTACTATAACACTAATTAAGTACTCTTTCAATCCTTCACTTCCATTTTCACGTGATAATGGTTGAAATGTCCGTGATGCAGTTTAATTGCATTCCTTACTATATTTAAATGTTATCGCAACACTACTGATGTAAAACAAATTACCCTGCATGTTGCTACAACTCTTCTTTTATATGTTATGATGACATCATTATTAATGAAATTTTTATTTTGTATTTGTTGATATATGTAGCTTATATGTTGTAACATTATGATGAGAGAAGAGACACAGATGTTGCTGTAATGTACGTATTAGTAGATGTAGAACATTTGTGACAGTAGTGATGATGAGAAAAGAGTCACAGATGTTGATGTATTGTACACGTTAGTAGATGTAGAACATTGGTGACAGTAGAGACGATGAGAAAAGAGTCACACATGTTGATATACTGTACATGTTAGTAGATGTACAGCATTGGTGACAGTAGAGATGATGAGAGAAGAGTCACACATGTTGATATACTGTACATGTTAGTAGATGTAGAACATTGGTGACAGTAGACATGATAAGAGAAGAGTCACAAATGTTAGTAGATGTAGGACATTGGTGACAGTAGAGACGATGAGAGAAGAGTCACAAATTTTGATGTATTGTACACGTTAGTAGATGTAGAATATTGGTGACAGTAGAGATGATGAGAGAAGGGTCATGTATATTGATGTACTGTACATGTTAGTAGATGTAATACATTGGTGACAGGAGATATGATGGGAGAAGGGTCACAAATTTTGATGTATTGTACACGTTAGTAGATGTAGAACACAAGCGACAGTAGTGATAAAGACAAGAGTCACAGACGGTGATGTATTGTGCATGTTACTAGATGTAGAACATTGGTGACAGTAGAGATGATGAGAGAAGTGTCACAGATGTTGGTATTCTGTACATGTTAGTAGATGTAGAACATTGGTCACAGTAGAGATGACGAGAGAAGAGCCCTTGATGTTGATGTATTGTACACGTTAGTAGATGTAGAATATTGGTGACAGTAGAGATGATGAGAGAAGTGTCACAGATGTTGGTATTCTGTACATGTTAGTAGATGTAGAACATTGGTGACAGTAGAGATGACGAGAGAAGAGCCCTTGATGTTGATGTATTGTGCATGTTAGTAGATGTAGAACATTGGTGACAGTAGAGATGACGAGAGAAGAGCCCTTGATGTTGATGTACTGTACATGTTAGTAGATGTAGAACATTGGTGACAGTAGAGATGATGAGGGACAATAGCCCTGGATGTTGATGTATTGTACACGTTAGTAGGTGCGGAACTTTCGTGACAGAAATGATGATAATAGTCACAGCTGTTGATGTATTGTACATGTAGAACATTGATGACAGTAGAGATGATGAGAGAAGTCACAGATGTTGATGTGTTGTACATGTTACTAAATGTAGAACATAGTCGACAGTATTGATGAAGACAACAGTCACCGACGTTGATGTATTGTACATGTTACTGAATATAGAACATTGGTGAAGGTAGAGATAATGAGAGAAGTGTCACAGATGTTGATGTATTATACATGTCAGTAGATGTAGAACGATGGTGACAGTAGTGATATTGAGAGAAGAGTCACAAATGTTGATATACTGTACATGTTAGTAGATGTAGAACATTGGTGACAGTTGTGATGAAGACAAAAATCGGATGTTAATGTACTGTAGATGTTAGTAGATATAGAACATATAAGTATGTAGTTGTACTGTCATTAAGTTCTTATATATCAGGATGTAGTTGTACTGTCATTAAATTTTTAAATATATCTATATATATATATGGATGTAGTTGTACTGTCACTAAATTCTTATATATATATATATGAATGTACTTCTGGTGTCATTAAGTTCTTATATATAGGAAAGTAATTGTACTGTCATTAAGTTGATATATATATAGGAATGTAATTTTACTGTTATTTAGTTCTTATGGACATCTAAGTATTTTATACTGTCATTAAGTTATTATATATAGGAATGTAATTGTACTGTCATTAAGTTGATATATATATAGGAATGTAATTTTACTGTTATTTAGTTCTTATGGACATCTAAGTATTTTATACTGTCATTAAGTTATTATATATAGGAATGTAGTTGAGTGTCATTTACTTGTTATATATAAGAAAGTAGTTGTACTGTTAATGAGTTCTTATATATAGGGATATAGTTGTACTGTCTTTAATCTCCTATTTATAGGAATGTAGTTGTACTGTCATTAAGTTCCTATATATTGGGTTGTAGTTGTACTGTCTTTAAGGTTTTTTTATATAGGGATTTAATTGTACTGTTTTTAATATATTTTATATTCGGTTGTAGTTATACAAAGTATAAGAGAAAAGTATACTGATGAAAAGTGTTTTTTATTCCGAGGTTTTAGGTTTTGTACTCTTAACGGAATGCAACTCTAATTACTTCCACTTAGTGTTAGAGAACGTGTTATTAAAAGTAATAACCACTTTAGGATTTCTAAATAATGTTTACCATAGGGCTTTCATCTGTAGGAGTTCTTTTTTTATATAATTCATATCAAGTTAGTGATAAGTCTTATATATGTTAACTTGTACTTTACACAATTCGTTTGATTGATGTCAGGCACGAGGTACATGGTGGTGGACTGTGGTGGAGGAACAGTGGACATCACCGTTCACGAGCTCATGAATCAACAGGGGTCATTGAAAGAACTATTCAAGGCTACAGGTGGCCCCTACGGTTCTGTAGGGGTAGACCAAGAATTCGAGAATCTTTTAAATAGCATTTTTGGTGCAGATTTCATTGAACAGTACAAGTTGAAACGTCCGGCAGGCTATGTCGACCTGATGATCGCTTTCGAAGCCAGAAAGAGAAACGCTAGTCCCTTTAAAAATAATCCGCTCAACATATCGTTACCATTTTCCTTCATCGATTACTATAAGAAGTGCAAGAACAACTCAGTAAGTTAACCATAGAGTAAGTCTCATAACCGAAACACTGGAATAGAGGAAAATATTAAACGTTTTTTTTTAGAGTAATTCTCATAACCGAAACACTGGAATAGAGGAAAATATTAAACGTTTTTTTTAGAGTAATTCTCATAACCGAAACACTGGAATAGAGGAAAATATTAGACGTTTTGTTTAGAGTAATTCTCATAACCGAAGCACTGGAATAGAGGAAAATATTAGACGTTTTTTTAGAGTAAGTCTCATAACCGAAACACTGGAATAGAGGAAAATATTAGACGTTTTTTTTTAGAGTAATTCTCATAACCGAAACACTGGAATAGAGGAAAATATTAGACGTTTTGTTTAGAGTAATTCTCATAACCGAAGCACTGGAATAGAGGAAAATATTAGACGTTTTGTTTAGAGTAATTCTCATAACCGAAGCACTGGA